TTGTTTCCAGGTATAACACAAACAGACGGAAATCCGTCTTCACGGAGAATAATACAGTCGTTAATTTTGACACCGAAGAAGTCGACAAGGAAAACGAACAGCGAGCTAATAATGGAAACTTCCAACTTGACAGGTAGGTAAAACAAAGAAGACAGCTAATGGTGACACTTTTATCCAGACTGCTTAAGTTACCTATCTCTATCAAAGTAAGTATTGACTGCTTAAGTTACCTATTTCAAGCAGTAAAAGTATTACCTGCTTAAGTTACCTATTCAAGCAAATAAGATATCGACTGCTTTATTTACCTATGTCAAGCAAAGAAAATATCAATTCCTTAAGTTGTCTATCTCAAGCAAAGAAAACGTCAACTGCTTAAATTGCTTATCTCAAGCAAAGAAAATATTACCTGCTTAAATGACCTGTCTCAAACAATACAAAAGTCAACCGCTTAAGTTGCCTATATCAAGCAAAGAAAACATTACCTGCATAAGTTACCTATCTCGTGTTGTAATTGAAGCAAGTACAAAGGCATCCTTCATTTAATAATAAAATAATTGTATAGACTAAGGAAGAAGACTTTTACTATTAGTATTGTGGAGGAAGGAAGCTATGGTGATAGCAAAGGTGGAGCTTTGTGTACTAATACTTTAACGTCTTGGTATTTATGTCCAAATATCATATTGGTGGCTGGAATGCCAACTTCAAGAACAGTTTTGCTGTCTCTCCCATTGATGTCTCGTATTTTATTATTTCTTTCTGCTTATTATTAACATATATATATATAATGAGCAACCACCTTCTCACTTCTGGCTGCAAACAGCGAAAGATGGTAAAGATATGGGACGTTGCGGGTTTGACCACCCATATCTACTCTCTTTCTTAAACACGTGAGGCTGGCGAAATTGCGATTAAGCTGAACAGACGGTGTACCCCCGCTTCCTCAAAATACCATAACACATTACATAATGACCCACCGTATGATTTGTGCCCAGGTGTTGAATATTTTTGTGGCTGCTTTTATATTTTTTCAAGTTTTTTTTCATATATTTATTATTTTCTCTTCTCTACAAAATTAAATCAAATTTCATATATGAACATATATTAATTTCTTCAGTCACAATAACTACGTAGTAACTGCATAGCTTTTATTCTATTAAGTTTGGTACGGATTTGATTATGTGTAGAAAGGTGATTTAGTTATGTATTAGGACTTAATAAATGTATAGTTTTACGGCAAAACAATGTTGGTTGTACAACTATCATAAAAGACTAGCGTTTATAAAGTCGCTTTCTAACTCTCCGAACCCTTATATTACAAAATATTAGAAACCATTAGGCCTAACCCTTTGCTTAACTTGGCCTTATTACGTACCCACAGTTTTTGCATTAGGTTTATCTTCTTTCTAGTCACATTAACTATTTGTCAAACGTCTCTTGATATTTTGGAAACAGATAGCTTAAAGTTAGGCCTACTACACACTTACCAGTGTAGATATTATTTTCATAGCGCATCGTTACTGAAATTGTTCTAAGAGGATGCTGCCTGTTTTCTACAGTTCTACTAAGAAAACATTCAACTACATCAACATTACTGTTCTTACACTTTCATATCCAGAAATACTTTATAAATTCTAAGAACTCGTGAGTGAAAGTAAAGAGGAATTTTATAATATGTTAACTACATTACATCTGCTATTTTCACTGCTGACGAGGCCTTTCGCCCAATACCAAGGCTCATCAGGCCGGAAAGTATACAGCTATAATAGTGGACCAAAGAGGTGTAATTTATATCACCAACTTTCACGAACAACCATTGTTATGATGGAACAATCATTGTTATGATGGAACAACCATTGTTATCATGGAACAATCATTGTTATCATGGAACAACCATTGTTATCATGGAACAATCACTGTTATGATGTGAACTAGATTAAATAAATGAACTGTGAGTATCAGCATTTTTATTTCAGTCATTTGCAAATAACGCAATATTATTCACTTATTTATCATTATTTCAATTAACTTTACTGTCATTCAGAAGAACTGATGCGCAAGCAAGAAGTGTCGTCCATCTTAATGTAAATAGCGCACAGAATCACGTTTTCCTAAAGTCAAAAGGCGAACTTAAACTGACAACACAAACTATTTAAACATGTTTATATTTATAACGTACCTTAGAAGTTTAGACCTTGTCTGTTAACGAAAAGTTACGATTTACGAACATGATATATATATACACATTATGCATTGTTGGTCCATTATTTTCTGTTTTATTTATTGTATTTTTAATAGCAAATAGCAAAGATGTGATGAGATCTCAAAATTTGAACTCAAGGCTTAATACTATACTAATGCGCATATTGCAGAATAGCAAAGTAAATCACTATATGCAGAGTATTAGTTTACAAAGTTTTATTCAAAAATCAAATAATGCTTATTAATAAATTCATTCAAACTGTTCTTTTACATACACTGAAGAAGTACTTTCTCGTGCCTTTTATTCGTGTACTTTCAATTAACTGCAAATTATGTTTGCTCACGTAGTAATTATACATTTGTAGTGATTCCAGTGATGAAGAGGAAGAGATTGGAGAACCTCAAGGTAAGCGTATAACCTTCACTAACAATAACCATTGCTAGCTAACCTTTTCGTTCATTAGTATTAATATGTAATCAACACAGTTCTATCGTCATTATCACGATAAACCTAATGCTCTGCGAAGATAGTTTCCCATCGCTAAGTTAAAGGACCCGGGGTAGCATTGCACTAATAAAATAAAAACAATAAACAAGTACAATCACTTTTTTATTAACTTGTTATTCTGTTGTCATTTCGGATTATTCTAACATTTCCATATCAAACAAACACGACCACTTTTTATTAACTTTGTTCTTCTTTTCTCAAATTGGATTATTTTAACCAGGGGCGGATTTAACGGTCAGCTAAAGCTGATCGGGTCCCTCTTTAGGCCTAGCCCCTTTATATATAATGTTTTTTAGAAATAAATTACCTTATCTCTATTTTATTTATCAAGTCTATCAATTTATTCAGCTATCTGTTGAAATTATTTGCTTTCGCCTGATGTATAATATTGGTATGAATAGAACCCGCCGGGCCAAATTTTTTTAGCTGAATAGGCATTTAAGCTTAATTCCGTCCACGATTTTAACATTTTTATAGTAAACAGACACGATCATTTATTGTTAATTTATTTTCCTTTTATCATTTTGAACTATTTTAACATTTCTAGAATAAGAAAGTACGATTATTCTTTTATTAGTAGAATATTCAAGGCCCTCAACTTCTCTTAATGTTATTTTCTGTTTGTTTTTTTCATACTTCAAAATATTTGTTAAAAAGAAGTTAAAATCTTAAAAATATCAGGAAGTAGCAAATGTTAGCGTTTTTATGGTCAGAAGCATGATGTGTGATACAAATGGAGGAACGAATATATATATATATATGTCACTACTGAAATAGTAAAAGCTATATTGTCCAACGTTTATTTTAAGAAAGCAGAAGAGTTGGTTCAAGTATCTTAGACAGAAATATTAAATATAATAATGGTCGCAATTTTAGAGTCGCTGGATCGAACTCCATCGCCGAACATGCTTGCCCTTTCAGCCGTGATATAACGTGACAGTCAATCATACTATTCATTGGTACAAGAGTAACCCAAGAGTTGGCGGAGAGTGATGTTGACTAGCTTTTTCTCCCCTTGTCTATCACTTCAAAATTCGAGACGGTTAAAGCAGGTAGCTCTTGAGTAGGCCCGGCATGGCCAGGTGGTTAGGGTGCTCGATTCGCAGTCTGCGGGTCGCGGGTTCGCATCCCCATCCCACCAAACATGCTCGCCCTTTTAGCCGTGGGGGCGTTATAAAGTTATGGTCAATCCCACTATTCGTTGGTAAAAGAGTAGTCCAAGAGTTGGCGGTGGGTGGTGATGACTAGCTGCCTTCCCTCTAGTCTTACACTGCTAAATTAGGGACGGCTAGCACAGATAGCCCTCGTGTAGCTTTGCGCGAAAAACAAAAACAAACAAACAAACAAGCTCTTGAGTAGCCTTGCGCGAAAGATCAACAAATGAACAATTAATAATGGAACCTAATCATTACATACTTGGCAAATTTCATGCCAGCACATATGTATATGTCAACTCTCAAAATACGTAGAAGAAAAAGATAATGAACATCATTCATGTCAGTGCTAAACGAAGCATCGTCTGAAAAAGGATGTAAATATTTTCTAAATTTCGTTAATTACTTACAAATAGGGTTAATATTTGAAGACATATTAAAACTACTGCTACTGAAAGTGTTCACTCCACTGTGTAAGTCAGTAATGTTGTATATTCTATATTGTGTACTGAGCACCAACGAACTTTCAATTCTGCGTTCGTCACCTAGTGAAGAATTATACACTGGATTTCATACACTGCATTATCAAAAGTCTGGAACTTTTTTTTTATCCACAGAATCTCATCTGGTGTAAAAATAACATATATTTCTCTACGTTTAATTATGTAAGCTATTACAATAATAAATCTTATTTTAATACGATTTAGTCAGTGCAACTGAAAGATCAAATTGTTACAGTAATGTCAGCAGCGCCACCTAGTATCAGGATAAACATTTTGTGCTCATTTTTATATGTATGAAGACTAACTAATACAGCGTAAGGGGCGTTGCAAAATAAATCACACTCCCCCCCCCCCCCGAAGTAATGACGAACTTGATAGGACCTCGAATATCATCACTTGTGAGAAAACGTTATTTCAACGTTCTCTTCGGTGTTTGACTCTTCGAATTTCATTTTTTGCGAAAACTTTTGAATCATGGTGTTCACTAGAACTTAAGGTTCGTGTCGCATGTGCTGCCTTCGGGATGGCTCAGAAACTAGTCGCAGAAATGCTCCGAGAATTCAAGTATTCCAATCGATGCATCGCAATGCCATATTTGAAAAATTTGATTAATGCCTCAAAAGTTTCAGAATTGTTGAATTTGAAAGAGTGTTCCATGAAAAAGTGGTGGAATGTGGATTGGGAACTCTCTAGATCTAAATCCCGCCGAAAATGTCGGAGCTTTCGTTCAACAATGCACAGAAGAAATGTTGGAAACTATGCTTGAATGCGAGAGACACAAACATGAAACCTTGAGTCGTGTACTCACTGATGTGCTCACAGAGACAGCCACAAAAACAGAGATGTTTGTTGCACTGCTGAAATCATTTGCAAATCTATTAAAACACGTGCGTGAGAACAATGGTGGCCCAATCAAGCGATATTGATACTTGGAATTACTTTTTTGATTGAATTAAAATCTTATTTTACTTTGTTATGCTCTCAGGGGGAAAAGTGTGATTTATTTTGCAACACCCCTTACATCGGGTGGCCTTTATTTTCAAGTATGTTGAAATATTATAGCACTATCTTAACTTTCAGCTAAAGTGTTTTATTGTATGTTTACTTACTTTTTAATTCTTTTATTCTTTAGATGAAGATTCGGTCATAAAACATAATTCCTCTACAGGGAACTCATTTGGGAAAGAAGAAATTAAAGAAGAAACAGACCATCAGCAACCAACCATGTGGTTAGGGACAGAAGATGGCTGGTAAATCATCTAGTGATGATATTAAAACTTTATGTATTTTTGTCACTTTTGACAAATTCTGCTACATGTGTTCGTAAGAAAAAAGGTACTCTAGTGTTCGTGTTCTCAGTACCAGTCTTAAACCCAGAAATCAGAAATATATATACAGGGTTGAGTATTTTATATTAAATCAATTTTGAATGAGTAAATACGCAAGTGACGTGACAACCACGACCGATAATAAGTCGCCGTGAAACGGGATGTATAACAACTACATTTTGACATAATTTTGCGGTTCAGAAATATTGTGATGCTATAGAATATTGATTGCTTTTGGGAAATGTATACTACAGCCCTTTCCGATAAAAATAATCATACATTCAGGTCATAAAGATGTGGTTAGTTTGGAGATTTAGATTTTCCAAAACGGGGATGTAGTTTGTACTTAATGTCATTGAAAAACAAAATCACATAAATCAATATGTGGCGCCAGGCCCATCGAGAAAGAGACCTGCAACAGGTCGTACCTCAGCAGAGGTGAGCAAGGTGCGGTGTCTTGTAACAGGTGTGAATTTACGAATACAGAATTCAGTGGTAAAAGCCATCCACTCGCTCCAGGCAATAGTAAGCAATATAATTTAAGATCATTTCCGTCTCGAAAAGCGTCACAAGTCACGTATACACAACTTGTTTCCACGGTATATCCGTCCAACCGTCATATACCTGCAGCAGCTGGAGAATGAAACGGATATTCATGCTTTTCCATTTGAAGTCATGGATTTCTGTACGATTGAACTGTTGAAACGGGCGCTGGGATACTGTCATCCTCGTACACTAGATGAAACATATATAAAGCAGTAGTTGTCTCCTTTTGACATGACAGTTACGGCGGAGCTTTTTGCAATGGTTTGTTTGTTTGGAATTAAACACAAAGCTGCACAATGGGCTATCTGTGCTATGCCCACCACGGGTATCGAAACCCGGTTTCTAGCGTTGTAAAACCGCAGACATACCGCTGTGCCACTGGGGGGTTTTTGCAATGGAAACTAAGCTGCAAGATTATTGCCAAGTGCACGATTTTCAGATAGAACATGATCGGGTGTGGCGACATGGACAGTAACAACGTGGTGAGACTCCAAAATCGTTTTAGTATAACTTACTCAAACTCTATACATATATATATAAAACACTCTTGAATAATGATCATAGGCTTTTACAAATATATATACATTCTTTACTATGATATTTGTATGGTAACACTTACAAAAAAAGTAATACTAAAGTTTTGGTTCAGCCTGTTCATTATATTAAGACATACACACCACCAACGTCGTTTTATTTCATTGTGAGTTATGTAATTGCTACTAAATTAATTATGGGGTCCAAGAATTATGTCAAATAGGCGTGGCCATCCCTCCTATTGCGTACTAGGAGTCACCCCCCCCCGTCCCCCACACTTCTCTCTCTCTCTCTCTTTAAGAACTAAACTGTACGGCTGTGGTATATCTGAGGAATATAAAATAAAACTAATACCTGGAATTTGTTTAAATTTTATCTCCCCTTTCCACGAAACCTTACTCTGGAAAACGTTATACGAGGAATTGCCCCCTTGTTAACCACATCTGTTGGCCCACTAATGCCGAAATTCCTATCTTATCAACTAATGGAGTGGAGGTAAGAATTGAACCATCCAATGGACCTGTACTTGGTTATAGCACCTGCTGTCTGGATGGCGCTGTGGGTTTAATTCTCGCATGGTGTCAGTTTTCACTTCTACAAGAAAAGTTTATGGGTGTCGTTATGCTTTGTTTGATAAAATGTAACTGTAGACTGTTTGTCTGCTGTATGAAAAGTATGTAATAAGTAGCACAATACACACATATATATACATGTATATATATATATAATGGTTCTCGTTATGAAACAGTACACGAGAATTGTTATGTTGTGAATGGGTAACTACTGTTCATATTGATTTGTTGGGTCGGTTATAAATCAGTTGTTTTTTTCCAGTATCCATATCTACAACTGCAATGACAACATTCGTATTAAGAAGAACAAGATCAAAATCCAGCATTCTGCAGCTATCCAGTGTATCATGTGAGTTAATTTGTCATATAAACGACTTACTAGACCTCATTTTCAAAGATAATGTCCATGTTATCATTTCTATTTATCAGTAAGCTCATCTGAATATCATATTTAAATGTTTGTCTAGCTGTAATGTGTTGTAACGTGTGTCGTAATCTAACTTAACTCGGTTCTAGAAATGAAACCTTGTTACCCACTGTGTGGTGTAAGGAAATCCATTATTTTCTGAAAAAGTTCTGAACTTTACGTTCAAGTCTACTTGGAAGATGAATTATATATTTTATTTTAAAATTAATACGATTATGCTATGTCTAAACTTAGGCTAATAATATTTCAAAATGTGAAAAAAAAGAGCTCAGAACTATAGAAAACTGAGAATAAGTAGAAAGATTCTTTCTTAAAATCACACATACTTAACGGTGGCTATCACTGAACTTTCCTACCCGTTTTGTGTCTGATTCTAATGTTTCGGTAACCGTAACATCTTTCAAACCTTAACACACTGAGAATAACTAAGAACTAATTGAAACCGAAGATTTGTTTCTGCTCTGTTTTTTTTTACTGAAACATTGTAATCAGACACAAAATGGGTAGTTCTGCTCTGTTCATTTTACTGAAACATGGGAATTAGACGGAGGATGGATAGCTATGCTCACTTTGTTTTACTGAAACATTGGAATCAGACACAAGATGGATAGCTATGCTCAGTTTATTTTACTGAAACATTGGAATCAGACACAAGATGGATAGCTGTGCTCAGTTTATTTTACTGAAACATTGGAATCAGACACAAAATGGATAGCTGTGCTCTGTTTATTTTACTGAAACATTGGAATCAGACACAAAATGGATAGCTATGCTCTATTTGTTTCCATGCCGTTTTCTTTTATTCTGTTGCACAGAATGCCGTTTAGTATAGCAAATATGATGTAGTGCTTCGCGCAGTAACAAGTAAACGAAATGATCTGTTACTATTAAAATGAAAGCTTGTTCTTGAGGTACAGCAAGCTTGCACTTGTGAAGTACACAGGATAATCGAAGTATTAAAAGTTATGTGTAAAATAAATATGCTGTCTTGTTCACTGTAAAGCTGTAACAACAGATATTTTACGAGTAAACTACATTATCTAAAGTTTTATAGTTTTACCAGCTGACGTACTCGTTCAACGCGCGGGGAACACGTAGGAGCTATCGGGGGTACATAGGGTTTAGATCCGAACGCTGACCCCCTGTGTCACTTCCAGGGAAACACTAACGGTACATGGTTTGGTGACAATCGGTCCAGCGGTTCGCGAGTGATAAGCAGACACACAAACAGACTTTTGTCAAATAATGGTTTAGACTTACTTCTAAAATTTTAAAAGGAAAATTGCTTTTTAATTTTTATTTTATTTTACTTTCTCAAGTAGTTGTGATTTTATGCTTTGAACCAATTTTAAAAATCACTGGGGAAAAAATCAAGAGTCATTCACCGTATAGATAGTGTTGTTGTTTAATTGTATTCTTTGTTTTAGATTTCAGACCTTAGTTGTTGTCGTTTTCTTAGTTTTATTGAATTAGTTATTCATGATTTTTGGTTAGTGTAACTCTGTTAAGCTTTTCTTTAAAAAACAACAACAAGAAATAATGTGAGCTATATTATTATTATTCGCAGATACTTCGACAACAGAGTGTTTTTGTCTTTGGCAAGTGGTGAATTATGTGTCTATAGACGGAGTACAAGTAAGTAATACAAATTATTACATTGTGACTGAACGAAAACTTTAGAATTTTTGACATATTAGTATTTTAATATGGAGGAAAAATATATTTCTTAGACAATAAAAGCACCAGCAAAATCCTCAAAGATTCGAATAGTTAAAAACAGAACATTTTTATGATATTCAAACGTGCAGACTACGACTTTTCAAGTTGTTTCAATATATATATTTCACACAACTTCGAAAATTAATTCTAACGTTTAAACTAATATTTTAGTAAGTTATATTTGAAAACTTTTCTGAACGCATTTTACTGCTGTATGAATACTGGTTATAATATAGTTTCAGCAGTTTAAAACAGGAATTTTGTGAAATTCAAAGTAATATAAACAAAGTTATGAAAATAATACAGGTTGTCTGAATATTTTTCAGAGGGCATTTTACCAACCAAAATGTTCATACTTTCCACAAAATGCGTTAGTTTCTTCTACCTGTGAATATAATTATAACTTTCATTGTGACTAAATGACCCTCTACAGTTTCTCCAGTTAGAATGTAAAACACGAGTGGAATGTAAGATAAAACATAGCCTTAGCTAAGACTTAAATTCATGTGATAAAATTTACGTCATAGCATAGCGTTACTAGCTGCTCTTTTGTAATTATTGAAATACCAAAATCTTTGACATCCATGCAGGTTTCAAAAGAAAATTTGGGCTTACAAGAGCAAATTGCATACAGTGATCACGAACTACGGTAACGATACAAGGATGGGTGCCTAGGCCTTATAGCCTCTTCTTCCACCATTACTGGTGCTTTGTATGATGGGTATAGTTAAGGACTATTGCAAACTGCGGCGCAATTTCCATATATTAAGAGGCTTCTGCGCAATGCTCTGAGGTCAGCAATGTCCCCCTCCCTCTTTCAGTGTTTTTTTAAAGCACATCGACCATAGGCGGACAACGACTTCCTAAAGATTAGCCTGATAGTATACAGATTCACCTTGACATTTTTCTCGAACCTTCGGATGTTTAACTTGCCATTATAGCTGCAACCACTATTAGTCCATTGGAAAGTTTTCGCGACATTCTCCTTATATTCTTTAAATAAATGTACGCCTAAATAAACATTCTCCTTATATTCTTTAAATAAATGTACGCCTAAATATATATATATATATATATAAAGCTTTGTTCACGATCTATGTTAACAGTTTGCATATCTAATCTCATTTATCCTGGACATCCTCGTGTCTGTGGCTACATAAGTACACAGATTAGAAGCCCTGACCCTCTTTATGCAACAAATTTCGGATGTGGTGTTTATGTTTAGCTGTCGGGCAAAAAATGATCAGTTCTGGGACGTTTACATTACAGGATTTTGACTCGAAGTTCTCTTATTCCGCGATTATAAAAAGACAATACACATACTTTTAGCGGCCCCCCAGTGGCACAGCGATATGTCTGCGGACTTAAAACGCTAGAAACCCGGTTTCTATACCCGTGGTGGGCAGAGCACAGATAGCCCACTGAGGAGCTTTGTGCTTAACTACAAACAAGTAAACACTTTTAGCGCTTTGAAGAAAGAGATATCTATGTTATGGAATGATATTTGTAAAGTAAACAAAGGCGAGATTCTAGTAGAGAAAAACAACGATTCCATGATTGGCTACCAGTTGCACACCGGAGGCAGTAAAGAAAATTAAATAAATTTCTACCGGAAGTTATCAAAAAGCATATCCATCGCAGCTAAAGTAGGAAATTCCCTCGGAACTGTAAATAAGATTATTCATATAGTTTTAGTCTTACAAAAGCAACACAGGAGCCATGTTCACAAGCTTCTCCCAAAGACATAGCTGAACTGAAGACAATTCAACAAGCGCAAACTGTACAAGTGGTGTCTGGTATTAAATAAACGAAAGTACATTTCCACATTAATCAAAGCATATGTTTTATCTTATCAGCAAACAACAAAACATATATATTGAAAGTTATTAAAGAACATCGCAATTGCGTTAGTACAGACATAGCATTTTAGTGCAATAATGTATTGTACACGTTTTCTTTCACCTTTTGTACATTTATAATTGTACAGTAACTGAATCATTATACAATTTAAATACTTTCACAAACTATAAAAAAAATATCGAGACTTTAGAAAATATAGGGTGTTAATTAATAGCTATTCTGCGCTCTAAAATAATTAAAATTGTAGTTGAACTTTGCCATATAAGCCACATGTATCGTACATAATATTACGTCCTATTCCCTGTGGTTACTATCACTGTGTGTAAAACTTTATAGGGTAATTTGTATGTTAATAACGTTGCAAAACTGTGTTGCCGTGGTTACCCAGAGGGAGGTTGGAACACCGCGGAGCCACAGCGAGTCCAAGTCGGAAGTGTTTCTGCTCCTGTATCCCGGATGTTGGCAATAGCTGGGAAGCTATGGTGTGGCTGTCAGAATTGTGTCAAAATCCTCAATACCAATACACTGGAAGAAGAGGTAGGCCAGTTGAGTTCAAGTCTAAACTTTGAATTTCATTTAATATTTATATTAACCCATAAACAGAAGAATAGTTCAGATTTACGATGTTCTCGTTCAACCTTGTAGTAATATACACCTATCTCAAGTATAAAGATATACATATATATATATTTTCCCAAGAATTAATTGAAAAATTACATTTTTTTGGGGGGACAAATTTAAAGATATCTAAAAGCTAAAACGTCATTTTTGTTGTTGTATTTTTTGATAGCATTGCTTTCAAGTAAGTAGTGACACTTCTCGAGCAGTGCTTTGTCTGGTGACATCAGGACTAGGTGTATGGGTTGCCATCCAGCACAGTGCAGTCCTTCGACTCTTCCACGCTACAAGCTACGAGAATCTCCTGGACGTCAACGTGGCTCCAGCTGTGACAAAGATGCTTGCTGGTGAGATAATCATATTAGTAGGTGAAATAAAACAGCAGTGTAGCTAGTGACGCGATTCTGTAGTCAACACCACAGCCAGTAGCAGCAGTATAGCTAGTGGCGCAATTATGTAGTCAACACCACAGCCACTAACAGCAGTGTAGCTAGTGACGCGATTCTGTAGTCAACACCACAGTCAGTAGCAGCAATGTAGCTAGTGGCGCAGTTATGTAGTCAACACCACAGCCAGTAGCAGCAGTGTAGCTAGTGACGCGATTCTGGTTAGCAAACACCGACACGCCGACGTACAGCAGTG